TGGAACTAATGCCTAAGGTTGTCTCAATCTCACAGTATGTCACATGACGATCTTGCATTATTAGTTTTTGCACAGCATCAATGTTTTCTGACACAACAACTGATTTTGGACGACCTTCACGACTTTCGTCGGTGAGCGAACGGCGACCATGATTAAATTCGTTATACCAGCGTTTCACAGTGGTAAAGGATGGGGCTTTATCGCCAAAAGTGGAAGTAAGTTGATCGATGCACTCCTGTCTTGATAATCCACGTCGAAAGTCGTAATAAATCATTGCACGAAAATTTTCACGAGTTAATTCCATTTTTTCGCTGAGACACAATTTTCAAGTGACTGTAAACAATACAAATCGCGCTCAAATAACAAAACGTTTTGAAGGTTATGGTCAAAAATGTCAAACTTTCTAGTGGAAACGTCAGATGGCACCTGACAACACTCAGTGTTGCCAAGGCTCAAAATATAAGTAGTGCCCCTCGTACAAGCAATAGAAAATGGGAAAATAAAAGGACAATATCCACCTCAGCTTCGCGCTTTTGCCATGACAATTAATTTTTACAGTCCAAAGGCATACAAATACATTCGTTCAACGCTTCGTTTAAGAATCGCTTGCCTGCGCCATCCACGATCCGATCGTGGTACAGTACGACTAGTGGATCACCCGGTTGTACGCAGGAAGCCGTAGAGGCATTGCGAAGGAAAGTTGAAGCTGCCGGTGATAAAGTATAATATTATACGGATGTTTGACTTCGGACGAGATGGCGATTCGTCAAGAAGTTTGCTTTAATCATTCAGAAAAAAGAATGTTTGGTTATATTGACTATGGATATGCGATTAAGGAACCTTGTGGAGCACCAATAGCAACCCAAGCGTTGGTGTACTTGATCACAGGATTAAATGAAAGATGGAAAATACCTGTGGCGTATTTCCTGTTGAATGGATTGAAGACATTGGAACGAGCAGAGATAACTAAGAGAGTTCTGGAATTCGTCGCAAAATCAGGAGTACGCATTATAGCTCTAACATTTGATGGACTATCGGGGAACATTGCCATGTGTTCCGAATTAGGTGCCGATATATATAGTGACAAGTCTTATTTTACAAATCCAGTTGACGGCCATCCGATTTTTGTTTTCCTAGACACACCGCACATGTTGAAGCTAGTGCGGAACACGATGGCAAAGCACATTTTATATGATAGCGATGGACAACCCATAATGTTCCAATATGTGCAGAAGTTGGTGAAACTGCAAGAAGAAGGGTACTTTCATTTAGCAAATAAACTTAATAGAAAGCACGTAGAATGGTGGAAACATAAAATGAGCGTGAAGATAGCAGCGCA